AATATTATATAAATAATTAATTTAATTAAATTTAATATTAATTAATTTGTCTTAAAACATATATATATATATATATATATATTTTAAGCGCCTTCAAAAATCTATTAATCTACCTACATATAGAATAATTACTTTGAACGTGCTGTAATAATTTAATTGTTTAAAATGAGACAACCCTACATAATTTTTCTATTAACCCCATATATCGTATCTATTGACCCGGACTCCTGGGTAAATAGAGATAGCTAATATTTGTGCGTATTTCGTTCAAAATATACATTAAAAATAGCTTTTGAATATTATAAAGTTTAAAACCAACCTTCACTCATAATATAATTGCATTAAATACAAAGAAAACAATCGAAAACAAAATGAATGTCAATTTCAAAGTTCCAAACTGTGTCTATTCACCCCGTTTTACGGTATGTAGTTTTGATGTTACTTCACTTTTTTACTTTTATATGCCGTTCATTAATTTAACGTGCCGACGCGCTGCGATTAGTCATGGATCTACTCTTATTCTATATCAAATCGTATAGTATTGTATTTGAATATCTGATATTGAATCTATATATAATTTCAATATCTATATATCGGATGATATCTAAATATCTACGTGATTCTGTAACTCTGCAAAGAAGTCAGTATTTAATACTGCACGGTAATCTGGGATTTTCGACAGATTTGGTTGGTTGGTTACATTTATAGATATTATTGTGTTATCTAAGTATCCTACAACAGAGTCGGAGTAGGTATATTTGTTTTACTCTAATATACATAATAATCTATCTCGTATTCATTTGCGAGCTTATGGTTTGTTCCAATTTCAAATTGTGTATCATAGGTTATTATTATTTCTTCGAATACGGTGTTAGATGTTCTATAAAATGACTGTAGTAGAACGGTATCTAATACGTAATTAGTCTGTTGCGCGGCATACTGATATTTGATATTGTACTGACAAATAGATATTGTATCTATATACGACTTGTACCGCCCACTACTACTACAGTGAGTAGTGAGGAAAAATTCGCTGTGCTGCTCTAGTGCGTATTGGCGGACTTCACATGTGCTATAAATATTTTTAATTTCTCTGACATGTACGTTTACTCTCGATGTTTTCATTTGCCTGCGAGCACGTTGATAATTAACATTGAAAATTGTACAATTACTTCCATGATACTTCCGAACTCGGGTTACTGTAGTCTTTCGTATTAGGTATGAGGTAAACTACGACTATATGGTGAACACCTGGAATTTATACAATTCAATTCCTTTAAGATTAAAAGAATATCTTCAGAATTATCAGAACAACAATATAGTATAGATCATAAAATAAGGAAGAATACGGTGACCAGAATTGCGGTATTTTTTTCTGCCGACTTCCAAAAAGGAGACGGTACTCAATTCGACGCGTATGTTTTTTTTATGTGTGTTTTACTGGGTGGACCGATTTCGATGATTCTTTTTTTATATGAAAGCTGATACTTCTCGTGTGGTCCCATATGAATTTGATCAAGGTCAGACCAATAGTTTTTGAGTTATTTGTATTATTCTTAATAATTTATATTGAAGTCGGCTGTACAAAATTTTTAATTTTAAAGTATCATAGTTACGTTTTACTGTTTGACGGTTATCATTTCGTGCTGACTGTATTATCTAATGCGTCGCATCATCAAAAGTTTTATAAAAATTAGGACTAGAACATAAATAGAAGACGAAACAAGAATTATACTCGAAAATCTGCAAATAGCAGGTTTGTGCTATTTGAACATTTTCGAGTTAAAATAATCATCATTCTGCAGTCAATTGGAACGAAGTTTCTTATGGACGGTACGAATTTGGCGGATGGGGGCTAGGCGAGAATAAGTGTAAGATTTTCCGTCACGACCCCTTCTGACGTAGTGTAGACGGCCTTGGCGGCTATAAAGATGCAAGGTGGAATAATATCAATCTCACTCGCACTTTTTGTTATCTTGTCATAAAAGAAATATTATTTTATTTTTAACTAGCTGTTCCCCGCGACTTCGCCCGCGTGTTATTTGTGGTTTTAATTTTTTTGCGCGGAACCCTAATTCTTTTTCTAAAATAAAAGTAGCCTAAGTTACTCCTTATGACATCAGCTATCTGCCCGTGAAAATCCCGTGAAAATCCTGTTTCGGAGATTAGCCGGAACAAACAGACAGACAGACAGATGTCGTATATACTTTCATATGCATTTAGTAAAAAGCTGTAATTTTGACATTACAAACAGACACTACAATTTTATTGATTTGTATAGATGACGCTTCATTTTAAGGCGCAGGTTGAGCAAAATGTCGCGCTAGTCGTTATTTGTGCGGTTTTAAGGAGCTATCTACTTTTTATTTAAAAGATATATCAACTAATAAAAACACATTATATTTCTACATAATCTTGATTCCATAAAAGTCGTATCCAATTTTTTTTAAAGGAATAAATATTAAAGTAATCTCCTTACAACGAAACCACATAAATGTGAAATAATTATTGATAACATGCATCTCCTCGTAAAGTAGCATTATTTTATTTTGCGATGGACACTAATGGATAGGCAATTTATTAATGAACATTTCTATCATAAATTGTTTTCAAAAGACCAAAATTTGATTTTATTGAGAAATTATTTTAAGAACTGGGCGTATTCACTGACCACAGGGTTGCTGGAGTCAGTGAGCGCTGAGCTCTTGAAGGTGAAACCCGTGTCGTTAATCACAGCGTCTGCCAGCGTACACGTTCGCGTCATCTTATCAGTCGATAATGTTATTATTACTTATTAGGTTATTTATAGGTAGCATTATTTCTTTGTTTTGGGTATAATTTTTCGTATTATTTATACATATATTTGTTGTGTTTTTTACTGCGCCTAGAAGCTTTTTGCGTGTATTTTCTTTGAAGTAAATGCAAATATAAAAAATAAAAATTGAGCACCATTAGCATGTAAAGTTTGAATCCATAATTATTAACATTTCGACAAATATTATAATTTACACAATAAAAAGCTAATTCAATACTATCGGTATAATATACAGTTAAAAATAATCCTAATACCTAACCACAATATCTTAGTAGGTATAGTAATTCGGTAAAAAGTATCTAAGTAGGTATTAATATACCTACCCAGTATAACTAATCACAATAGGTACCTATGTAGGTATTATGATTAGATAAAAGGTACTTATCTAAATAGTTACCTACTTTTACTAAGTAAGTACTTATACCTACCCGGGCATCATTTAATTACAACCCAAAACCCCCTATAAACTAAAAATTTTTAAAATTAAATTTAACTAAAAAAACTAAACTGACAATTTATTTTTCAACTCAAAACAGGACATGGGTTTATTTATACTCTAAAAACTATAACTTTATACAATTAGTGTTCACTATAAAATTATATTCCGTATAGACGGTAATTATTAAATGTAACATATTTATTTAATTATTAATTACATTTGTCAGTGGATTAAATTTGCTTTAATAAAGTTGGTGATGATTTTAAATAAGAATAAAATTCTGGGCAAGTTTTTTTTATTGTTACCTTTGTTAACAACATCACCTTTAGAACTGGAACCGTAAGTGTTTTTTTCATACGTCCACAATTTATTCAAAATAGAAAAATACTCTTTCTACTGGAGCATTTGTACCAGGTAGACATAAAATATATTCGATTAAAAAAAATTATGTTGAAGATTGTTGGCTTTGAATACTTCCATCCAATCCAGTTACCATCCAGTTACGGGATAATGTTGTGTCCCGGAGCTTTGTTTGGGGACAATGGGACAGGTGACCGAGAAAAGGGACAGAACCGTTCAAAACGGGACGTATGGTCACTTTACCTATAATCCGGCGACGGCTCCGTGGCGCAGTGGCTTAGCAATCAGTTGTTGCGCTGGGGGCCGCGGGTTCAAATCCCACACGGAACAAGTATTTGTATGGCCTAAAAATAATTGTTCCGGGTCTGGATGTTTGTCCTTGTGCAATTTATGTTTGTAAACTGACTCCACGACACAGGAGAAAATCCTAGCGTGGGGGTAACGTTTTTTTAAAATTGAAATTGAAAGATTGAACCCTTATACTTCTTGTTGATTTTTGTATGACCTTTATTAATGTTACCCTTATGTATAAATTAATATAATTATTAATTACGTATGTAGAAATAAAATTTAATAAAAATAAAAACAAACATGTTTTTTTTCATCCTCATCAATCATTGGGGTGAGGATAGTGTCAGTCAGCATAAGTAATAAGCAGGCTAAGTTACAAGGTGCTCAGTTCAAAAATTAGTAGGTAGGTATGTTACTTTTCAATACGTGACACGTAAAAATTAGTAATAATCAAAAACACATCTGCTAAACATCCTATTTATTTATTTATTCTTTATTGCACCAAATATTTGTACAAAAGGCGAGCTAAATAGACAGTATTTACCTATAGTGAGTAGGTATCTTTTAAACTCACAATTTTCAATGCTTCATTTTTAATATATAATTAATTATAAAATTTCATAATTAGATAATATATGAGAATACATAATTCTAATATAATGCAACTAATATACCGAATAAAAAAATTAAAATACATTTATCATTGTACGCCGTGTGTATTTCCCTAAAATAGTTTATTGATGTTGAAAAAATAATACTACGTTCGTACAGTAGATGGCGTCTTGCATATTTCTTACGCGATATATTGTAGCGAGTCGGCGCGCGCCGGCCAAATGCTCAAGGTCGTTCGCATGGAGTAACCTCTTAATAGACGCTAGTAATTCATTTATTTGAATTTTTAATCAATAAAATAATACGTTTATCAATAATAATATACTATGAAGGGAACTTCGTTCCAACCGAGTGTTACACGACACTCACACATGGTTTTTTTTAAACATTTAACTGATTGCATAATTTTTATGGTTATAACAGAACAATTCATGGCGTTTTTGTGTGTAAATTATTATACTAAAAATAATTCAAAATACTTACTTCGGAAGCAATGTTGGCACCCATTAACACAGCACAAGGTATTTTTAAGCATCTTGTAATAATATGGGAGATAAGGTCAATGCCACCGCCTTCCGCTATATCGAAGCCCTGCCAAACAAGAGCTAAATTAATGAAAGTATTTTTATATGTACATACAAATAAATAAATGCGTCAATTACCTATATTAAATCAAACGTATTACCAAACATTAATGATAAATTACTACAATTTAGAACAAGTTCAAGTAAAAAAAAAAACCTTTATTAAGGAAAGTGCTGCTGCCGTTGGTTTTATTTTTCCAAGCAAAGTCGAGCATAACGTCCTCACGAACTGATGGGGTACAACGAAAATAAGAAGGTCTGCATCTTTAGCTGCTTCCACCACATCAGGAATGGCAACCTTAAAATATAGAAGGAAATTATAACTTAACTTAAAAATTGATGACATAAAACTTTTAGAATGGAGAAAAAATAATTCATTCAGTGTCAGTATCAACAAATTATACAGTGTAAAACTTCAAAAGAAGAGAAAGAAAATTGGGAAAACTAAGTAAATTATGGCTAAATCCTACACATTAATATTTAACGCAGGTATCCGAACTCCACAAATTATATAAAAATAATTAAACAACTTATTTATTTTTAATAAATCCAACGCGTTTAAGCATAGATTAACGTATTTACACTAAAAATATGCATTTTGAAAAATCTCACGTGAGATTTAACGCCAATATAATAAATGGATGTCCCCTAACTTATTAATTGATATATAATTTTGCTATTATATCCCCAACATAAGAACTATTAATTTATGTAGCCAAATGAACGCAATAAAATGTTTGAGTGTGAGTTTGAAAAGAGATTTCTGCATTGATCCTCTATGATCCTATGACTGTTAGAAGAGTCAAAGTAGTCTTCCGATTTTCATAATATAGTGGGTCTCTAATTAAATTTGAATCGAGATTTTGTTATTATTTCATCACATTGAAAAATTTATATTTCGGATATCATCGGAATCTATTCCTATAATATCCGGGGCGTCAGTCTAAGCCAGATAAGAATTACTCTTCAGCACATTAAAAACGGCAAGTCCCCGTCTGGGGATAGAATTACAGTAGAGCTTATGAAAGTGCTAACCGGGTTCGGTCCTCACCAGCAGAAATGAAATTGTTAATTGCAATTTTAAGTGCTGATTTACCTCGTGCTCGGCGGTGAAGGAAAACCTGCATGTCTGAGAAATAAAAAAAAATGCACAGACGTGAAGTTCGCCAACACGCATTGTGGTAGCGCGGCGGACATTTCCTTGCCTTAAAACCCCCTCAGGGATGAGGGGAGGCTTGTGCCCAGCAGTGGGACCTATATAGGCTGTAACTTTATTTTTATGAAAGTGTTTTTTTTTTTTGAAAATTATTTTCTACTTTTAGGTTCGGTTATCTACAAAGGCGTGTTTTTTTTAGTTCTTTTAAAGTATTATTTATTTTTTATTTTTAGTGCAGCTAACTACAAATGCGCGTTTTTTTTCTTTTGGATCGAAGTTCTTTTACGCGGCTTACAGTAGATTGAACTGGTAGAAATCATAGTTGTTTTATGAATTATTCGCAAACCCTGAGGATCCTGGCAAGGATAATGGGACGAACTATTTAAATTATTGCATTGTCATCGGTCCTTGACAAGTGTGCGAAGTTTTGTATCAATCCAATGTTTTGAAAAGGATGAAAATCACATACAAACATTCTGTTACATAGATACATATCAAGCTAAAAAAAGGGCGAGAACGCTCTATTGAAGAACTACAAACCAATTTTTCTTCTCAGCCGCTTCTATGTGCTGTGTTCGAGAGTAATTAATAATTATCTCATACGCGGAATTAATAACTTCCAGAGTATCGAGCAAGCCAGTTTTCGAAAAGTACATAGTAGTACTTGCGTATGTGGACTATCGAAATTGGGCGGTGCTACAGTACCTTCAGCTATGCCAAGTCGAATGTCAGTATATCGATGCTGAAATTTCCATACAGTAGAGCTACGATGGCGATGTGAGTACCAAACAAGAATACGAAGCCTATCCAACTGCAGAGAGTTGTAAGACAGGGGACGTTATATCCCCAAAACACTTCACTGCTGCATTGGAAGAAATTTTCAAGTTACTGGACTAAAAATGATATGATATTAACATCAATGGTAAAAGCTTTTTGATTTGCTGATGATATAGTCTTTATGAGAGAATTGCGAGAGGACCTAAACACTATTATTAATGATCTCAATAGTTTTTCCCAACACATTGGCCTTGAAAATTTTAAGGTTGATCAGCCTACTATGATGAGGCCTATGCTTGGAGTTTCTCTGGGAGACAGACTTTGTGATGAGGATATCCCAATATTATAACCAAAGTAACTGACGTAACCCATCGGTTAGGCTGAAGGCTGAACATATAGCAGGCACCGACAACCAATGGGGGGAAAAGGGTAACGAGTAGCAGCCTAGTATTGGAAATCGAAGTGTAGGTTGGCCCTCCACTAGATAGCATGGCGACCAGGTAAGAGATACAGAAAGCTGATGAATGCGGTTGGCTCAGGATCCTGTTGTGGCATTCATTGGGCTTTAATCAAGATGATAACAATGATGATATAAAAGGCTATGCGTGTAAAGAAAAGGGTCCGTCAATGTTTAATAGAAAAAACCAAAAACAAATAATAAACCAAATAACTCAAAAGAGTTGTGTAAATTCTATTCTTCTTTGCATTGCATTATTGTGGTAAAAAGTGAGATTATGTAAAGCAGTTTTGATTCAGATTTTGAAACTTTAAATATATTGTGTTTTTTTACTGCATGTTAATAAAACTGATAAGACATTGACTTTGTTTTAGTCTGATTACAGTTTGTGTCAAATTTTTTTAAAGGATAAAACTTTTCAGAGAAAACCAGTCACATTTTTATTTTTTTTTTGATTATTATGTGAAACGTACTACATTTTCTAAGTAAATAATAGTTGGTAATTCATGTTTCACAGATGGTGTAGTGTAATATAATATTCAAAAAGACCTTTAAACACAAAAAAAAACTGAATTTTAAGATTGTCAGGTAAACCAGTTAACTGCTTGACCTTTTGCACTTTTTTTTAATTTTCTATTGTTATGAAAGCACCTTTTTTCATTCAAATAGTTATTTGATTAATAATCAACTTATCATTGAACATTGTTATCAACATTGCACTGTGTCTGTAATGAGTTATAAATTTTCTAACTTCTGTAAGCAGTTTTCTCAATTTGGCAAAATTGACAGATTATTCAGTTAATATAATATAATATAATATATTATTTACAAGAATGAAAATTATATTCCAGATATTAAGTAACAATAATCCTATGACATAATTCAAAGATACAAAAGTTTTGCAATTTGTTATTTAAGCTATTTAATTATTTTTAACAGACAATTTAATATTTAGAAGCAAGTCTATATAAAATCTATGACCCACGTACGGTAGTTTTCCATTAGAAATTTTACGGGCAAAACGGGATTTCATATGTGTGTGGTTGACCCGTTAGGAATTCCGAAACGAAATCCCGAAATGGAATTCCGTATGTATGTGGCAGACCTTAAGCTTACAAAAGAGGTGGCATTATGTTATTCTAAATTAAGACCAAATTATAAAAGTTTGAATAAAATACTTACCACGTTTGGTGGAAGTTTGTGTCCAGGCAAATATTTTACATTTTCATGTGTTTCATTTATAATTTCAGTCAATTTTTTCCCTTCAATCATCTCCTCATACACCCACATTGTAACCCTATCCTCAAAATTTGAAAGTCTTGCTGCATTGCGTCCAACTATTTTAGCAATTGCTGAACCCCTGATAAAAAAAAAACATCGTAGCAGAACGACCAATTAAATAAGTTTCAGTTATTGTAAAAAGAAGTAACAATGATAATTTAAAATACCTAATATTAACAAAATATTTTTCGAAAGAAAATATTATATATGTAGTTCGAGAACAAGAAACTAGAAATAGTGTACATAAAAAAAAATATATTACACACAAAATAATCACTATAAATCTCTCTTATCTTGATACAGATAAAGGTACAGTGTAGTTATGTCATACTTCCGAACTAAGGTCACAGTCAACAAAATTTATCTCATTATATTATATTATGAAGGAAGAAACCTTACCAATTACCAGAACCAACTATGCAAACTCTGTTTTTTACTTGCTTGTCTGCCATTGTTCTATTTTTCAGTCTTACACAAGGTTATATTGAACAATTTATTTTAATCCTTCGTTTCTCGTGAACAGTACCCGATGGCACTATCGGGTTAAGTGAAGTGAGAAGAGGCCAACAAGGCCGAGACGTTTTAGGCAGACGTAACCTCAGAGACTAATGATATCACTTATCACTCAGACAACAGCCAGTCCTTATCATAGCAATTTTTCACATATTTATAAATAGTAAATACGTAGGTACATAAGATTAAGGATGGCGATCTAAGATCGATTAATCAAAGAATCGATTTGCAGGTCAATAAAATCGATCTTTTTATCGCTCCCATTAAATTGATCAATGATGTGAATCGATCACAGACACTTAAAAATTGAGGCAATTTTTCTGTTTTGGTATGAATACAACCATGTTCATAAACATAATTAAAATTAATTGAATACCCAATCCCGAAGCAGACCGTGTAATGGAATTATAAGATTATCACAAAGATTTATATCTTTGGATTATTAACCACCACATATTGTCCAGTAGGTGTCGTAAGAGGCGACAGAGACAAACAAACCAGGAGATGGGCAGTAGCATCTTACAAATAATAACTAAAAAAAAATTCGGTTTCCAATCCACCTGCTAATTGTAGCAACTGTGGAAAATATATTTCTTATGAGTCAATATCTATGGCGCTTATGTTCAGCAGTAGCCTTTTGATATGCTGTAACAGTAACTGAAATCCAAACACATTTAGTATGTACAACTTTTTGTTCCTCAAACGCTTGAACCAGAAATAAAAAATTATAACTATTTTATTTGTTACTCTCACAGACTAATATGATGCTTACGCATGTTGTTCTTGACGCAAAATTACATTGTGGCCACATTGATATATGAAAAATAGTTTTCTACCGACTTCAAAAAGGAGACGGTACTCAATTCGACTATATGTTTTTTATGTGTGTTACCTCATAACTTTTTACTGGGTAAACCGATTTCGATGATTATTGATTTATTTGAAAGCTGGTGCTTCACATGTGGTCACATATAAATTCGATCAAGGCTAGATTAATAGTTTTCGAGGTATTCTTAATAATTTATATTAAAGTCGGTTATACAAATTTTTTTGTTTTAAATTATTATTGTATATCAATGTGTGGCCACCATATATCCAACATAACAAGCAGACTATGCTAATCTCAAGACAGCTAGATTTGCTTAATAAGGTCATTTACATGAATATGGACAGATTACAGTGATGACATGTACCCGTTTTAAAACGTGTTCGCCCCATAATTTGTGACGTGGAATCCACCGGAGGAGAATTTATAGAAAATATAAGATAATTGTTATGGACGACTATGAAAGAGACATTTATTTTGAATGCATAATAGAAAAACAAATAATAATTAATGTAACCAACGATGATGATGATTACAGCTCAACTAGCTGTAGTAAAAATTATTAAATAATCTACTCCAGTCTTTAATTTATATAACTTTATTACCACTAATCAGCAGGAAGCAATAAATATGAAAAAGAAACTGATAAATGTTGTGTTTTGAGTTCCCTGTTTCCACTTTATTCTAGTATTAATCAAGGTAAAACTGTAAATGATTACTAACTCTAAAGAATTGATATCGATGTTTCATAAGAATCGAATATTTTGTAGGTACCGATTTTTCAGTTGGAATGCCTAGTGCAATAAATGTGACAGCTGTCAACATAGATAGATAAAAGCTAATTCTCAAAAGATATTTTTTAGATTTGATTTTGTACCTACCTATATAGCACTATCTTCTTTTATTTTTAATATTTTTGGCTATACCTCAGAACAGCTTTTAGATATTGTACTGAGGGCTATATTATGTAAATTTTTAAACTGTTCCACTTCTTTCTGTTGATATGAAATAACAGCTCCAACAACCTGTTCCAAAATAACAGGCTGTTATCTCTCATTTAGCTTCGGTATAACGCCCGCCACATACATACGGAATTCCGTTTCGGGATTCCGTTTCGATATTCCTATTTGTAATTCCGAACGCAGCAAATCCATATAAAATCTATGACCCGCCACACACGTACGGTAGTTTTCCGTTCGAAAGGAGCCGTGGTAGCTCAGATGGTTAGCGCTCGTTGTAAGTTTCACAGTATGCGAGCAACCGAGGTTTGAACCCCGCCGACACCAATGAAATTTTTAATTGCAATTTTAAGTGCTGATTTACCACGTGCTCGGCGGTGAAGGAAAACATCGTGAGGAAACCTGCATGTCTGAGAAATAAGAAGAAAAAAAAGGAAGCGCGGGGGACATTTTCTTGCCCTAAAACCCTCTCATTTATTTATTTATTTCAACTAACACCTATCATAACAGGAAGAAAACCTAATGCGACAGTGTAGTACTTATCATGCATAACAAAAATGTGGTCATTAACTGTAACATATTGTAAACAATCCTACCCTAGTAAATTCACTCAAGGTACAATAGACTAGGTCAATGCCTTCAGCCATTCTATTAAGAATGCGTAACGTTCGCGTTAAAGGCGCCTTATCGAGTAAATTGGTACGGGCTCGCGGTACAGACAGCAGCCGCGGCCGCCGCCGTTTAAATGAGAGGCAGCCTGTGCCCAGCAGTGGGACGTATATAGACTGTAACTTTACTTTACTTTACATCTCCTACCTCAGATCAATAATTAAAGATATTGTTCTAACGTACGAGCAGTCATTAAACTGTGCCAGTCTGTTACATTTGTTCTGTTACTGTTGCTACGGAATTGCAAAGTTACATCATAAAGTTTTTAACGGTTGTTATCGGTGATATTTTTACTTAGCATAAATATATATTGTATCAGTTATTATTTGTATAATTTGTTTGAGTTTTGCAATTTAATGGTAAGATTTAGATCACGGGTGATAATCTCTAATTAAAAATTAATCTAATTAAAAAAATTAAATATTCCTAGCTTTATGTCTATGGCCGTAGAGCGTAGATAGAGGATATCTATGCCGTAAAGGGAGTATGTTATTCTCTCTCTACGGTCTATGGCCCTCAAGAATTATTGTTGTTGTTTTTATTATTCCCTCGAGAGAGCAGGCAAAGGAACTATGCCATACAGCCTTGTCTTTATGTATAATTATCCGTCATAGTTCACAATATGTTGATGCGTCACATTGTGCAGCCCTTGGGAGATTTTGACGGCAACTTAAGCCAGCAGGTAGCTGACAGTTGGCGATGGTATCTCAAGGCACCTAAGCAGACAGACACCTTATTTTGAGAATCACATCACCATCAGAGCACTTGTTTCACAGTTTCCACTAATAGTTCACATGCGCAGACACTTAATACATAAAATCGCACCACTTTTACATATCAAAATCCACTCCAAACTATTATTTAAACTATAATACAGGAGCAGCAAACCACCGCCGATCAAGTTCACGCCAAAACTCCCCCTCAAGAATTGATTTTGACAGCTATTGAATAAATGACTGATTTTGACGTTTCTGTTCACCCACTTGACACGGCAAGCGCTGACGCCATTATTAAACTACTAATTTATTATTAATAATCAAAGACATTTAAGTAGTAGTTAGTGTATATACAGGGTGTCCAGTGGCAGATTTCAAAGTTTGAAAAATTATAAAAAAAAGAACGACACGTTTTATGCAAAGTATTTCTATTAAAATATAAAGAACATAAAGGCGGATTTTATTTTTTGAAAACAACGTTTTCTAAATGGCGGCCATCGACCCTAACACACTCCTCGAGTCTGGAACGCATGTTTTCGAAAACTCTTTTACAAAGCAACTGGGGAATCTTGCTGATTTCTGCTCGAATGTTTTCTTTCAGCTGTGTCACAGTGGTCGGATTTGTTTTGTAAACGATAGATTTTAAGTATCCCCATAAGAAAAAGTCACACGGACTTAGGTCTGGTGACCTGGGAGGCCACGGTATGGTGCCGTTCCGGGATATGATTTTTTCGGGAAACAACTCTCGCACTGCACTCATGGCCACATTAGCAGTGTGAGCTGTGGCCCCATCTTGCTGGAACCACGTATTCCGGTTACAGTATGGACTATTCTGTAATTCTAGTCTAAAAAAATAACTGATCATCTCAGCATATCTCTCGGAATTTACTGTTACAGTTTGGCCACGTTCATTTTCAAAGAAATAAGGCCCTATTATGGCAGACGCAGATATTGCACACCATACTGTGACTTTTGGTTTGTGTAAAGGCTCTTCATGCAATTTTCTTGGGTTGGAAATATCCCAATAACGAAAATTTTGTTTATTTACATATCCTCCGATATGGAAATGGGCTTCGTCACTGAAGAATTTGTTACCCATCCGAGTAGCAGTTTTAAATCTCAACAACATCGTCTCTGCGTAAGTTTTCCTTAATTCAAAGTCAGATTCGAGTAAATTTTGGACGATTTGGATCTTATAAGGATGTAATTTAAGTTTTTTTCGCATTATTACCTGTAAAGTTGATTTACTAATACCCAAAATCGATGAACGAAGTGATAAACGAGGATTTTCAATCACAGAAGCCATAACATGTTCGACATTTTCGTCCGGGGCTACCGTTGGTGTTGGTCCTGGTCTGGGTCTATTTATTGTTGATTCCGTTGCTCTAGACCTTGCTACCCAAGACTGAATCAGGTTGATTGATGGTCCATCACGAACTCGACGAATACCGTAGTGATTATTAAATCGACGACGGGCTTCAGACAGCGAAAATCCACTCGAAAAGTACACCTCGACGACAAAAGCGCGGTGCTCTCCACTCCACGGATCCATGGCTACTAAAAAATCCGCATCGCTTGCACGTCGAATAACCGCCTCCGCGCTGTTCTCCTACGTTGCGTTCGAAAATTAAGTCTGTTCAAAGTTTGAAATCTGCCACTGGACAGCCTGTATATTTTAAATCTCTTTGTTAATAATTAATATTATTTAAAGAATATGTTTTCAAGAACTTATATAATAGTTGCACAAAACCCTGAGCGGCGATTCGTTG